AGGGGGGGTGCGCAATATCGTCTGCGCGGGGGGTGCTGGACCCCAATCAAAAGGGGGGTGCGCGATATCGTTTGCGCGGGGACTTCTGGACCCTTGCAATCAAAGGGGGCGTGCAGGATATCGTCTGCGCGGGGGGGTGCTGGACCCCTGCAATCAAATCAAAGGGTGGGTGCGCGATATCGTCTGTGCGGGGGCCTGCTGGACTGCTGCAATTAAAGAGGGGTTGCGCGAGATCGTCTGCACGGGGGGGTGCTAGACCCTTGCAATCAAAGGGGGCATGCGCGATATCGTCTGCACGGGGGGGTGCTAGACCCTTGCAATCAAAGGGGGCATGCGCGACATCGTCTCCGCGGGGGGCTGCTGCCGCAGGGGGCTGCTGGACTGCTGCAATTACAGGGGGGGTGCGCGAGATCGCCTGAGCCGAACAAAAGTTGGCAACAAACTGGGATTGGACTGGCACCTGTAGCTGTTGCCCGTTGCTGCTCCACCAGGTTCTTTATCTCCCGGTTGGTTTTCGGGTTCCCGGCTTGACCTTGTTTTTTGCATTTTGCGATTTGTGAGCACGCTGCAAGCACCAGCTTCACACTTGAGGAGGGTCGCTGTTGAGTATGTGCACAACAGTGAAAGGCCACTGACTTTGCAGTGAGACAAGCCCTCATGGGAGAAACGTGAAGCTGGCACTAGATGCCAGGCCAAAGATGGAGAACCTGAAGCCACGATGGGCGAAGGGCTCTGCTGAGTCAATCTCTGGAAAGATTTTTGTCATTGATGATATTTCTTAGCCACCATGAGGACAAAAAGCTCAACTCCTATGCCTTGCCCTTTTTCGGACGGGTGCGCGCAATTTAGTGCCAGCAGCTGTTGTAAGGCTTGTCCCAAGCGGTGGACCAAAAGCTCAAGTCACTTCACCAGGTGAAAAAAGCCAGCGCAAAGAACTTTCAGCTCGTTGTGAACGCAGTGGTTCCCTCGGAGACGCCAGGAAAAGGAGCCAGTAACAACGCAGAATGCCAAAGAGATCTTGACATGCCGCGCGCTGTCTTGCAAGCTGAGGATCCGAATACCATCTACCTTATGTTTGGGAAGGTGTCGAAGGCGGTGCCCCACACAATCTGCAAAGCTGATCAGACTTCATTCATTCTCATGTAACTGGAAACCAACCTGAAGTGTGCCGATCCACAGTAGCTCATGCCGAAGTATAAGTAAGATGGCTATGTATTCAACCCTGCTTGCCAGGATGTCTTCTGTTTGGACTTTCGGGGGCCGATTGCTCCTCTCGAAGCATTTGCGGTAGCGCACGGAGCTCAAACGGGTCAGCTTAACGCAGCTCCAGAGTTCTGTCGGATGTTTGTGCTGAAGTGACTGAACTATTCTGGCGCAGACCAACGGCTGACAGCAGTGAGACACGTCATACGATACCAATTTTTGATGACCAGGTTTGTTGGAATTTTGACTTTTGAGACTGGCAGCCTCTGGAACCCATCAGAGGACAGCGGCTCTGGCGAAGAAGCGGGCAGTGAGTTGAACCCCTTGATGTTGAAACATTTGCCATGCAGTAGGTGGTTTACGTAAAAATGTGGTAGCCGCTTCGGTTAGTGAGTGGCTAGTGGAATCACATGGAGGCAGCTCCAAGCCGGACCATGACATTGTTAGCGTTCTCGTGACAGTTCGTTTCACTCTGAAGCTCGGTTTTTCCCGATGTGGCTAAAAGCAGAGTGGTTGCCACCATTGCTTCTGATAGCGCCCTGTGGCATGCTTTACCGCAGATTAACAGCGGCACACATACAGGCTAGGAGCAGGCAACTTGAATTGTCTTAACTCTTGCCTTTGTTGCCGCGCAGCTTCTGGTCCTCACCGATTTTCCTCGACTTCTCGTGCCGGAATCTCAGGACTGAGGATGGATGTTGGCCATGAAAACGCGTGCTCTAAGCTCACTTGCAGCGACACCGGAATGTACACCTCTCGCTTCAGTATTGATTCTGGTTCGCCATTGCCAGAGATGCCCAGGCTCGACAGTTCTGGTCGCAAAGTGCTCCGAGATCTCGACCTAAGTGACAATGGAGGCACTTACCTTCGATATTGATTGCGTTTGTTGTTCGCCATTGTTCATCAGTTGGTGAAGTTTCACTATGATGGCGATATTATCATATATTATCTGGCTTCGAACTTCGGACAGCGCTACTTCCACCCGAGGCGCCTCCACTGCACAAGAGAACATGACTATCAGCTGGAAGCCAAGCAAGAGCTCAGAAATGGTAGCACAAGATTAGCGTCAAGCGCTTGCTGCCGACACATCGGCATGATAGAGGCTATTTGCCGATCAGGTCTGAACGATAAAGCGTTGAATCAGAAGTCCAACACAGACTTTGAAATCAGCCGGGCCCTTGACCAAAGGCTTGCCTCAGCGAAGCAGCAGAGCTGACACTGTTCCGAGTGCCTGCGCTTTCTGTTTTCTGTGCGAGAGCAGGAGCCGTAAGCTTCAGCCAAGGTCTCGGCCGTTGTCGCCTGCGCTGCCGCGACACGGACTTGGGATCCGAGGCACCTGAAAAGGCTGAAAGGAAAGATTGTGACGTGTCAGAGCGCAGATGCGCTGGTGAAAACGCTTTCCGGCTCTTTCCGGCTCTGGAAGCCAGGCCTGGCTGGAGGAACTCTCCTCCGCTCGACAACGCGCAACGACGAGCCACCCGGCGAAGCATGTCAAAGCATGCTAAGCCTCGTGTTCAAGCTACTGCATGTGATGCATTTGGGTTTTGCCGTGCTTTCTGAGCAACTTGTGTGCTTGCATCATCAAGCTTTACCACTGTCCATGCAGGTATGAATCATGTCTGAAAAGAAGGCAGAATTGTTGCCACGAAGCACATGCACGCATATACGAGTTATTGTAGAGTGAGATGGTATTTGGGTCCCTACAGTTGGGTTGTCGCTGTAACGCGGGTTAGTGCCCAGTTTTGCCGTGTTTCACCATTTGGGGAGCAGCAATGTGGACAGACTGAGCTTTGATGTAAGGGTCCTTGTGGCCAAGTTCATATGGATGGACCACTAGTATAAGAAGAAGAATAAATACATGTCTTGGAGATTCGTCATGGAACCGCAACACGCTTTTTCTCGCCAAAGTTTTTGCAATGTTGCATTATGCAACCCAGCTTGCACACTGTGAAGAGGTTCTGAGTTCTGCTAGGCGATGGCCGTTAAGGGCTCTCAGAACCAAGGCGCTGTTCTGTTTCAATCCCATCCTTCTCCGTCCTAAATCCTTGCCAAGAGGAATGGAAGTTTATTTGTGCTAGACATGCTTCCGGCTCTGTTGTATTCAAACTCGCTACATAAGTCAGTGCGGTAGATGTGCGAAAGTTCGTGTACGCCCCGCCTCAGTAAAGGGTCCAACTTTAGGCCGCGGCTCGCCCAGAAGATGTATGCCTACTGGTAGCCTGGTAGTTAAGATAGACTAACCGTCTAACCCCGGTCTAACCCCCTCAGCAACCCCCTCAGATCGCCTATTGCATGTACAGATCTAGGCTCAAAGATTTCAGACGTGAGGCTGTGGGTTGCAGGTTCACTGCTTCGGATTTAAGCATATAGGGCAAGGTTTTGCGACGCCAGTGACTTTCCGATTGAAAATGTTCTGGTTCACGGAGCTAGTCATCAGTAACATGTGCGGCGATGGGTCGGCCGAAGTTTTGCACAGGTTGTTTCAGCATGAAGCAGTGTAGATCCGACTCAGATGGCTCTCATGGCCCATCCTTGTCACCAGCTCCAAGGTGTTCATCGCAGCCTTCTTGATTGAAGATGGAGATGAAGGGTCCCTGTTCACCGATTGGATTGTCGTTCCGGTTCCGTTTGCGGTAGTTTTTTTGCAATCAGACCTTGCTGTGGCCAGTGAAACACAAAAGCAAGGATCTAATGTTGCATGGTCGATATTAGCTGCTGTCGGCTGCAGAAGGGTTTCTTTCAAGTCAGACCGAAGCAGCATGAATTTGACTTGGCATGATTGGCTTGCAAGCATATTGTGGAGAAGTACAAGAGATGTCAAGAGCTGCTTCGTGCTGGATGTGCTTGCAATGTTTGCAGTTGGTCCAGCTGTTGGAGACGTGAGCTTCTCCTGGACTTGACCAGCTTTTTTGCAAGGAGGAAGGCTAGCGAGGCAGGGCAGACACGGTGCGACCTGCTGATGCTGTCCAGAGTCCAGAGTCTCTGCCTTCGAGAGAGCTGAAGAACTCGCTGCAGCAAAAAGAAAACTGACAGTCCTCGATGTCTTTCATCGGATGATGCTCTACAGAGGCTTTCTCGGCGTTTGCTGGAGCACCCTCCGTAATGAGCATGCATACTGTTTCCAGACGTAGCACAGATCTGGCAGATGCACGCAGCAGGCACCGGGCTATGAGAAAGCACTGCTGCAAAAGCAGTTCAGATTCTGGTGATCATCCAGATCCCGTTACCGCAGTTGACCCATCTTGAGCCAGGAGAAGATTAACCAGACCAACTTACACAAATATTACGCATAACATATTACATTGAGAGAAGCGCGGCGTTCAGCAAAGCTTCCGCAGACTAGCGCGGGACAGTAGCAAGTCAGGTGCTCTTCTTCGTCCTGATGGTTCTAGTTGAAGACTCTAGACCTAGAGGTGGCTGCTGCATGGAAAGTTTTAACTGAAGAGCAAGAGAGATGCGCCCTTGAATGGAATCATCCTGGAAGGGTGTTGGATCCATGATTTGGGCTTGGCTTGTTTCGCCGCCTTTAGTGACGAAGTATTCTTGTGCTGCCCTTCCAGGGGTGAGAAGCAGGACCTGGTGACTCTCCACTGTACAGGCTCTTCTTGTGCTGACTTCTGAATGCTGGTGACCGAGAAGAAGGCTTGCTAGTTGCAGAGAATGGTGCACTGCAGGCAAGGGTTACCTGGCCTCAATTCTGCTGTAGCTCCCAAATGTGTCATCGGTGCAATTTCTTTTGGTCGTCCGCGTACCAACTCTTTGCCTATCTCACTCCACTGCCTTGGTCTGGCGTCGTGCTGCTCGACAAGCTTCGTCTGCTTCTTGCGCGGTCCGAAACTACCTCCAGCCCAACCGTGCTGCTGTAATTAATTCCTCATTCGAGAACCATGCTGCATCAACAAATGCCTTTCCTCATGACACCCCACAAATTTTGCCCACGGCACTCAGTGCAGGAGCATGTTGCTTGTCTAGAACGGACCGGAGGCACTGAGATCGACGCAAGAGTCCTTTCACATGTTCCTGGCCGACCTCTCGCAAAGCCTGGAAAGCCCAAAGTTACTGGCGCATTAAATCCTAATACCAATGTCTCGAGACTAAGGAGCCATCCTCTCAGCTTTGGGTCTGACTCCTTGTCTCCAAGCTTTGACTTCTTGGTACCTGGTTCGCAGTTTTCCTGAGTGGAATACGGCTACCTGGCGTGTGCAGCGACGGCGCTTCTTGAGGAGGTGTTGGGAGAAGGGGGCTCTTAATTTCTGTGTTTAAGAGCCGGCAAGATCCACAGACATTTGATTGATGAACACCTTGTTGAGGGTATGCTCGACCCTAGATTCTAAATGTCTCCTTCATTGATTGTTTCTGAATGTGAGGACTTGGGTAAAAGCACATGCCTGGGCCCACCGCCCACATTAATAGTTCAGGAGACTACTGTGTCAAACCTGCTTTGGAGGGCCCGCCGCCACGTGATCGAGCGGCTTGATGTATTAGTTTGGCCTGGGTATTACAATCCATGAGAGGCTCAGGGCAATCGTTACTTCCTTGAACTAAGCTGGCTTTTTCATGAGATGTTTGTGTCGGCATTTGGTTGAGTCCATTTCTTCAGCATCAACTTCTTGAACCCGGCCACCACTGTACTTGTTTGCAGGATACTGTATCATTCTGCGATGCTCAGGGATGCGTTGTTTTTAGCAACGCATAAGCTCGAACAACCCCAAGCCGCCTGCACCTTGCACCCACACGGTCGCCAGTTTCATTCGTTTTGCATAGGCTGGGTGCCTGATGGTTAGCAGAATGCGTCGGAATGCTGTGTTCCGGTCATGCTGCGCTGAGACCCTGAATGCCCTCAATTCCTGGCAGCATTTCCTAAGTGATTGTACCGCACACAAAGCTTGGCTCAGATGAAGACGTGATAGGTTCCAGAATCGGATGCTTAAGCGGGACATGTAGGATGCATGGATACTTGGGTGGTGTCCAGCCGTCCAAAGGCTCCCAGCCAATCCAGCTCTGACTGCATCCCCCAATGGGCTGTGCAGGTGCATGCCAGCTAGTGCATAAGCCCACAACGAAAAAAAGTTTGACTCCGCCTTGCTTGCGAGCTGAAGCAGCATTGCAACTAGAACCAGCTTTGCAACTACGTGGAGCCGCTGCTGGATCAGGTCAGGCTTCATAAAGTAAGAGACAATGCGCTTGGTGCAGACAATACAGGCACGAGACATGTCATTGTGAAGGACTTTGATTGATGGCTGCCAACAGAAGCCAGATGCGACGAGCAACCTGTTGGTAAGAAGTACTGTGATAAGAGAAGTAACGTGGGTGACGCTC